GATTGATATCCGCAGCCAACTACTCCCTATAGGATCTGTATATGCAAACAGTTATTAACTGTGTGGCTGCTGCAGACGCAAAATTTGGAGCTGGAAAAACAGTAGGGGGCAGTGCTAACTAACTATTAAAACTCTATAGTGACATGGAACTTCAGTAACTATAGAAGTCTAAAGTATATTTTGTTTGTTAGCTTGTTGTGTGTTTTTTGTAGAAAAGTTGAGTGTGAATTGCTAGAATAATGAGTACTAGTGAATTTTCCTACAAATGTAATTAGGCATAACATTTAATATTTAATACAATGGGCTGCTGGTCCATGACTAGGGCTTCTAGCACTACAGTTACACAAATAAATAACAATAATAGAAAGATTTATATAGAGGGATAGCATAGAGTATTGTCTGTAACATTGATTTCTATTGCTTTAATCACATGAGTAGTTTGTCACAGGGAAATAACATCTAGTGTAACATAAAGTGATAGGATTTTTTTAAAATCTCTCATAACAAACCCTAACATAAAAAGAATGAATGGAAAACAAACTAAAGAGAAACAAAAATAAAAATGAATATTTGAGATAAGTAGAAGTAGACTATGCTACTGATACCTGTTTACATATGCATATTCTCTAAGGGCCAGACCAGATTGTTTCAAGCACTGTTGAAGAGGTGTGCTGATTGGGAGGGAAGACCTGCGCAAAGATAGGGTGACCAGACAGCAAGTGTGAAAAATTGGGACAGGGGGTGAGAGGTAATAGGAGCCTATATAAGAAAAAGACCCAAAAATCGGGACTGTCCCTATAAAATTGGGACATCTGGTCACCCTACGCAAAGGTCAGACGTCTATTCCCCCTACTGCTTAGCAGAGCGCAAGACAGCTAAGTTGGTGAGAACATTGGTCCTGTCCCCTCTGCACTAGTCCATTGAGCTGGCTACATATGCATGGAGGAAAAAGACTGCATCCTCCCAAGGGACAGTTCAATCTATTTTTTCCCATTGCATGCCAGACAGATCCAGGATTTATCATGCCTCCTATGACACACCTCTCCCAGAACTCACAAAGGGGCATTGCTGCACCTCAACACTCATAAGTATCTGACTCTCAAGGCCAGCATTTTTGAGTAGTCACAGAGGATAGTTTTTTGCCTCCTCACTGACCCCCCCCTCACTACCCCCACCCAAATATCACAGCAATATGCACAGGGCCAGCTTAAGGATTTTGAGGTCCAAAGGTTCTTTGGAATCTACCCTAAAGATATTTTTGATGTTACCACTGTGCTGTTACAGTTCCTCTAGATGACGACCACAGAGGATGTACCATCCATGTAACATAGACCTCATTAAGTTATTTTTTCTTAAGTGTGTATTGATGCTCATGCACATAAAGGACTGAGTAATATAGAAAACAGATATATCAAATATATGCTTTTACTGTTAACCCCATACTCCAAAATATTAGCTGTAGGCCCTGAATATTAATTTAGGTTGTCTCTGTTTTATAAGGTGTCCACCCATCACTAATAGGCTTTGGATACCTAAGTACCATGTAGGTTGAAGCAGTGTTAGACAACATCCTGCTGGCTATTGTTGAATCATCATTAAATATTGTAAGCTAGCTGGAAAATGAATCATTATAGCAACAGGTATTTAGCATCAGCCTGTGTTTGTGAAGTCCTCTTAATTTTTATAATATAAATCATAAGTCAGAGGAGCAGTTTTAGACCATTATCTCCCACTAATTTGAACAGTGAATTTTCCACTAACATAAACACAGAAGAAATTAATCTTCCTATTGATTTTCTTTTATATACCACAGGAGGATGGGCCAATGACCAGCTGGCCTAGCAGTCAGGTCATGGTCTTACGGTTTCTGCCAGCCTAGTCATCACAGAGGTGGCCCCAGCTGCAGTCCCAATCACTCCTGCATGCTCCAATTGTCCCTCAGAGATTCTCTCACTGCAGATGAGCAGGGCAGGGTGGCAATTTAGGGGGACCCAGGCCCACACATTCCACCCGGCCCCTACTAGGGACCCTAGGGGTTTAATCAAAGCATCCAGCCCAGTTATTGAGCTACTCCAAATTATATTTTTCCACTGGGTCACTTCCTATCTTTCTGGAGCTCCTCAGTTGGTGGCATGGTCATTAGCTTAGAAGACTCCCCTCAGTCTCTTTATGTCAGGTTCAAGGAATCTCTTTTAGGGCTTTCAGAGGGGGAGGGGAATGCAAGTCCCTGCTGCTAGAACAGCCTTCAAAGCTGTAGCTACTCCTGGCACAGCTCTCAGCCTTGTGCCTCAGTGCAACATACAGGTCTTTCCTCCTTTTCTGGGCTACCAATGTCCTTTTTAACTGATCCTCCACTGGGAACATGCTCTGCCCCTGTTGCTGAGCAGGGCCTCCTTAGTCCAGGTCTACTCCCAGTCCTGGTTCAGTGTGGGGCCTGTAGATCCCGGAACAATACCCAAACTTAAAGTGTGGCATGGAAGAAGCAGACGAATTATGGGACACAAGTTGCTAACAAATACCCTCAAAGGAGGCAGGATTCCGTGCAAAAAGAGAAGTACAGAAAACTGGAGGTCTTCCTACACATTGATAGTGCTATAAAAGAAAAGCATCACTTTTTGGTGTAATTTATTTAGTTTACAGTAGCTTGGTTACAACATCTGGTTCTTTACTTTCCAATTTTACAATTTGATAGATTAGGACGCACAAAGAAATCAAGTCACTTAGCTGAAATCGTAAAAAACGGAGTGAAAAAATCAGGCCCTTAGCCTGTAATTAGCATCTGGAAAGTTGCTCATATGTCATCACCTCAGTAGGAATTATGGTTTCCTGTCAGAATCAGCAGTGAAAATCTGAAGATACAGAGATTAGCAGCAAGACAGGTGAATCACAGATGGAATAGCACATTTTTCTATTAGAGCCTGACTCTCACATACAAACCCAGCTAAATTTATTCAGAAGGGATTTTGTTTTTAGAAATATATCAAATTTACATGGGCTTGTAACTGAATCTCTGACAGACCCATAACTATTGGAGTATGGCTAAATACAGCTATGATCTATAAATCAGATGTTCACACAAAGGACCAAAAAAAATGATGTCCTATCACAAACACATTTACTGCACTTTTTGTCTGCTCTAAAACTTGCCCTATAAGGTAAAAGACCTAAGTCCATAATTCTTTCCCTTTATAGAACTATTGATGATCAGCTGTCCATTGTAATTGGCGTAAGATATATTTTTAATCAAAAATTTTTACAATCACAGCTGTATTAGCAGCTCACACGTGTATGTGTGATAAGCAGACAATATTGCTGAGAAGCCTGCAGGAATGTTTGAAACTCTTTATACTCCTTCACAACCAAAGCATATCAGCATATACTCGTTTGGCATGTGTGCAGATATAACACTTGATTATGAAATAAGGCAATTTGTTGGAGGGGGGAAAATCTAAAATAATCCATTCTTCCCCACAGGGGCTGTTCAAAGCTCATGAACAGAATCTCTCTCAAGAGTCTGTATCAATCTTAAATTTTTGTAGCCTAATTTTTTAACCCTGCAGCATCTTTCAATTTTAGCTGGGTGGGACCCGCTTTTCAGAAAGCTCTTACTGTACTCTCCGAGCCATTATCTTCTATTATGTACAGAGGTAGGCCTGAGCCTTGCTAAGCTATAACTAATCATGTCTCTGTTTTCTTGCTCTTTAACAAGCCAGAATAATAGCAGCTTGATCATTCAGGGATTAAAGTAAAAAGTACCATTTTAGGAAAGTATTCTGGTGTACTTCAGCCTAGGCAGATGTTCAGTGGCACCTGAATGAAAATAGAGGATTAAAAATATATGTATGTGGCTCTGGTTGTATTCTCCTTCCTTCCCTTTTCTAACAGTCTTCCTCACTCCACGTGTTTTATTAAGAGGACAGTTCTTGCCCAGCTGCAAAATTTGAATTACAGATTGCGATGGGTTGGATGACAGAAACCCTCTTGGGAACTGCCAACTGATATGCCAAGACTACTTCTGCCCCTGCTTTCCCTGCCATCTTAGGACTCCAGAGCCCTGCTTGGCTGTGCCAGACACACTTGCCGGCCACAAACACAGACCCAGGTCTGAACCACGTCCCACAAACTACAATCTTAATTGAAAGCAGTTTAAGAACTGTTCCTGTCTTTAACACTCAGATACCCAACTCCCAATGGGGTCCAAACCCCAAATAAATCAGTTTTACCCTGTATAAAGTGTATACAGGGTAAACTCATAAATTGTTTGCCCTCTATAACACTGATAGAGTGTTATGCACAGCTGTTTCCTCTCCCCCCACAAATGCAGGTATTAATACATACTCTGGGATAATTAATAAGTAAAAAGTGATTTTATTAAATAAAGAAAGTAGGATTTAAGTGGTTCCAAGTAGTAACAGACAGAACAAAGTGAATTACTAAGTAAAATAAAATAAAAAAAACGCAAGTCTTAACCTAATACTCTAATAAAACTGAATGCAGATAAAATCTCACCCTCAGAGATGTTTCAATAAGTTTCTTTCCTAGTCTGGCACAATCTTTTCCCTTGGTACAGCTCTTGTTCCAGCTCAGGTGGTAGCTAGGGGATTTCTCATGACTGCAGCCCCCTTTGTTCTGCTCCACCCCATTATATAGCTTTGGAATAAGGCGGGAATCTTTTGTCTCTCTGGGTCCCCCACCCCCTTCTAAATGGAAAAGCACCAGGTTAAAGATGGATTCCATTTCAGGTGACATGATCACATGTCACTGTAAGACTTCATTACCCACTTGCCAGCACACACTTATACAGGAAGACTTACAAGTAAAACAGAGCCATCTACAGACAATTGTCCTGGTTAATGGGAACCATCAAGATGCCAAACCACCATTAATGGCCCACACTTTACATAATTACAATAGACCCTCAGTTATATTTCATATTTCTAGTTTCAGATACAAGAATGATACATTCATACAAATAGGATGAACACATTCAGTAGAGTATAAGCTTTGTAAGATACCTTACAAGAGACCTTTTGCATGAAGCATATTCCAGTTACATTATATTCACACTCATTAGCATATTTTCATAAAATCATATAGAGTGCAATGTCACACAGATATCTATCAGTCTTAAATACTTATATAGCCTCCATTACCATAGTACCCTATGAGCCTAACAGCACTCTCGTGAAGTACCAATTCGCACATTTTACAGATATGGAACAGAGAGACTAAGTGACTTGCCCAAAGTCACACAGGAAGTAAGTGGTGGAGAAGCTGATGGAACCTGGATCCCCCAAGTCCCAGGTCAATGTCCTAGCTACTGGTCTGTCCTTACTCTCTGGATATCATACCTCCAAAACCTCTTATATCATGTCTTTATAACCTCCAACAACTGTCAATAGGTTATATTACATTAAAATAAATTTTAAAAGATTGATGATTAAGGAATTAAAAGTTTATGCATGAACTAAAGACCAAATCATCATTGGATCTCCCCAAATGCACCTGCAAAATTTGCCAGTGCATCATTCATTGGCATGTTCAGAAAACTGGCCCATTCATATGTGCATGCAAATTGTATAATTGTCCACTGATTTGCCTAATTTGAGCCCGAAATACAAGATTGTTCACATGTAGGCAGATGAATCTGCCTACGTTTGGGGAATATGAATGAACAGTTGTATCCAAAATCTAAAGTTATAAACATACAAAACCTATGTTTTATTTGTTATAAATATCATAATTAAGTAGGGTTAGTTGAATTATTCATTGAGTATAAATTATAGTAGGGAATATAAAATGACTGACAAATTGCTAGTTAAGTGTGGACAGGTTTAACCATGTGGCTGTGTTTGTTTGTTTTTTAAACTACCAAGACACAGGTGAACAGGCAACTCAGGGTAGTTTGTTGGTAGCAGTTGACTTTCAGAAAAATCATAAGAAACTACATTCTTTTAAAAAGTTGTATAACCCAAAGACAAATATATTCCCAAAGCTATATATTTTTTTACTTATGCTGTATTTTCCACTAGATCAGTCACTTCTCATACAGACTGTCCCTTCAGACAGACGACACACAGAATTTGATGCAGCATGACACATATAACAAGTCAGAGCAGATAACATATACAAATACATTTTTTTCCTCCAGAGAGTTACTAAGTTTCAAAATTTTAATCACTGCTTTCTGTGAGCATGAAAGGGAGAGTAAAAACCACAACTCATTTAAGCAGGTATTGCCGTTTGATAGTGTTTTCACTATGTTAGGAAATGGCTGCTGCAAAAGTCTTTAAAACTGACCTGTGCCTGGGAGGGTGCCTAGGAAACCCAGAAAGAGAAAATGAAATCACTCTGAGTTTTAAGAATGTTTGGCCTTATACACGCAACCCCTGTTGAAGTTTGCAAGCTCCTGGAACACAGAGCTGAGCCTCTAAGGGTCTAGAGGAGCCTCTGAATTACAGCAACAATAGTTCCAAAAGCCTTCCAACACCATTTCCTGCCGGTTTAGGGTCCTAGGCAGGGACAGAATAGACTGGAAACTTGTCCAAACCAATGGGGATATTTGGATGGAGTGAGTTACTTAGACACAGTTTGCTGGGCAATGAGGAGCCAGGACTGATCAATTCCCTCAGTGGCCATGGATAAGCTTCCTCAGAGACCAAAGGGTTAATTTTGGTTTGACACTGGGTTGTTTGAGTCTGGAGCTGGAAGAGGAGGGGAAGACCCTGGGGAGTTGCTAATCAACTCCCAGTCCCCACACAAAGAGGGATTTTGAATTATTGTGAAGTTTATGGGAGTGCCAGCCCTGCAGAGACCAGAGATCAGGGATGCAGAGAACTAAAGCAGTGCTGGGTACCTACAGCCAACCAAGACCTCCACCGAAATCCAACCCCAGGAGCAAGGAAAGAACCCTAACCCCTTTCTTTTTGTTTAATGCAACCAATGTTCACAGTGCTGCAGCACTCATTGCAGGACTTATCCTCAAGTTCCATCTGCCTGAAACAGTACTAGGGAGGTAGCTAGGGGGTTGCGTACAGTCAGTGATGAATGCAGGGAGGTTGGGAATTTGTTATATTGTTGATGTTTTAGCATTTCAGTTAATTTTAATCCTTTCCTTCCCTAGAGCCTTTAGTTCCTCAGCAAAGTTCCCTGTGTTCTATTGTTCTTTTTGAGGGTGGCATTTCATTTGTTTGGGTTTCTATTATTGTATTGTGTTGCATTTTGTATGTTATACATAATAACATATTAATATACATATATTCACTAGGTTATATTCCTTGTCAATAGAGGAGGAGGAGGAGGAGGAGTTATTTTCCAAAAGGGATAGCTTCTTTGTGTCCCAGGCACAGAGATGTGGAGGCACTGAAATAAAGAAACCAGGACCCAACCCATGCAAGAAGAAGGGGTGTGGGGGACAGAAGCCACTCCAGTTAGAAAGCAATAGGGAGCAGGCTTGAGGCACTCCTCCAGGGAGGGGCTACACACAGAGAGATACAATATTAGTTGGGATCTCTTCTGAATTCCTCTTGGCCAGTTTCAGGAAATGAACCATGTAACATTGGAGGATATGCTCAAAGAGATGAGACAGACTGTTGATATTGTGCAGTATCTGAGTTTGCAAGCACATCATTCATCCCTGACTGGAGGCTCCACTGATAACTACTGACAGCAGCTTAGTGTCATGCTAAGTATTTATGTCTCCATGTCATGTTCCACAGCCTGCTTTTACTTAATCAGCTGAGGCAACAAATACAACACAGCATTTCAGAATATGCTCATCTTCTGTAATGAGTGCAACTGGGATATATCTAAGTTACCCTGAGCTACCGGTAGCTGGTTAATTGCTTTCGCCAAGCTGTGGAAATGTCTGCAAGTACATATATCAATCCTAATCCTCTTCTCACTTACACTGTTTATCAGTGACAAAGAAACTGATCTTAAATTGCCCATCTTCTAGCCATGTAATCCTGATTAGGGCTGATGAATAGATTCTGGTGGTGGAAAGACCAGAGGAGGAAGAGGTGACAGAATTAACTGGCAGCTCCTGTGAGCTGCCACGACAGGCAGGCATGTATGGAACTCATCCTGAGGACAGCCCAAAAGAGGGACAGTCTACCCTTGGAGTTAAGGCGGTAATTTCCATCTCGAGGAAACATACTGGCACTAGCTGTCTTTGAAAATATAGCCTATGGGGAGCTAGCCTATGAAAAATAGGAGAATAGCCACTATAGCACAGGTGGTGGAGTGTGAGAGGAGGGGCTAGCCATCCCAAGTACAAACCCAGCTGGACCACATGGTACATACTCAGGTGGCTAGCCCAAGTTGCTGCCCATGCTACTGTGACTACTCTACTCTTTTTACACACTAGCTCAATTAGAGCTAGCATGAGTATGTCTTCTCAAGCTGGGTATCACACACCCAGCTCCAAGTGTAGAGGTTTAGGCGCTCCCATGAATATCAGTCACCAGTGATCAGGAAAAAGGACTCCCATTCTCGGTTTGGAACTCGTAATAGTCCATCAGCGGCCCAAAGCCAGTGTCCTCCATTGATGAAAAGGGCTGTTGGGACATCATCTCACCCATCAGCTTTGTGGTCTGCTGCACAGTTCTTTGAGAGAGTGTCTATACTTAATCTTTGCATGAAAGGATGTCATAATGGGACTTACAGGGAGGAGCAATGCTGCTGCTGTTACTATCACAATTATGGATTTATATTGGCAGCTGCAATAGCAGGTAGGGTACCACTTCCAGTTGACCAAGCTCTGTTTTTTGCTGGGTGCCACAAGTTTAAGCCTGATGTGCGTGGCAAGTTTACAAGATTTTCTTGCATATATGATTACAAGTGCTGCATAATTGCCAACTCAGCTAAAAGCATTTCTGGAACTTGCATACAGTTGTTATAATGATGATGATGATGATGATGATTATGAACTCAAAGAACACATCTCCAAATGCCTACATAGTTCCTTGTTCTTTTCAGCCCACACCACACTGTGATGCTCCAATGAGACTTGGATTAGGTCTTGTGCCAGCTGCTATGTCTTTGTGCTTCTGCCTTGTTGCCCTGCAGCAGTGCTAGTTGCAGCTTTTACATCTGGTATTTGTCTTTCCTGGCCCACTTCTTGTCCAGGATGGCAGTAACAGTAGCAAACAACTAGTTTTTGTGTTCTATAAAAAGCAAACAAACACAAAAATTATTTCTGAACTGATTATAGTTACAAAAAGAAATGGAGGTGAGCTAAGAGCCCTGTTTCCCCCTCTTTATTGATCATTTGAAGCCTTTGAGTCACACGGCAGGAACAAGCTCATAGTGACTATTTACAGGCAGGAGCCAGGCTCTCTTCAAAGCTTGCTGAGTGAGAGCAATGCTAATACAGCCGCTGCTGGGCTAGAATTTCAGTATTCTCCTAGTACACTGTGAACTCCAGGCCCTTGTAGGCTTTATTTTACCTCATGTTCTGAGATATTTCCAAAAATGTCTTATAACATTGTGGGGAGGGGAGGAGGATCTGTTTTCAGACACCTGAGGCCCACTTTTTCAGAAGTTGTGAACATTCACTTTGCCAATTAAAATCAGATTTTCTGGGAATCAGGCTACTAGCTTGGGTGCCTTAGTTTGGCTATAGGTGCCTAACTTTGGGCAATCACATTTGAAAATTTTGGGTTAGATATCTAAAGTCCGTTTCCAAAAAAATGGAGGCAGCCCAAATTTAGAGGCCACTTTTGAAAAAATATGAATTTATGTCAGATATCCAGGTCAAATGCTCCCAAACTGCAAGGAATTTTTTATCTCTAGCTGATTTTAAATTTTGTAGCTAGACTTTAGCCCAATATTGGACAAATCAAAACCCAGGATCCCACAGTGAGCAGGTTTGTTTTTCATCCTATTGACTGGAATGCTTGTGGAACTTCATAATCTTCATCTCACCCCAAGCTCTAGGACTGCATGCACAGATGCAGGAGCGGCCCCAAGGTTTTTGCCACCCTAGGCGGCAGCGCTCCCCCTCTGAGCATTCAGGGGGCCTGGGGTCTTCAGCGGCGGGGGTCCTTCTGCTCCGCATCTTTGGGGCACTTTGACGACGGGTCCCAGAGCAAGTGAAGGGCCAGCGGAAATTCGGTGGCGGAAGACCCGGAGCAGAAGGATCCCCCGCCGCCGAATTTCCGCCGAGGGCGGCAAAATGCCGCCCCCCCAATCCTGCCGCCCTAGGCGACCGCCTAGGGTCGCCTAATGGAAGTGCTGGCCCTGCACAGATGTGTTTCAGTTTTTTTGACTAATTTAGTCTGTCTGGTTTTCTTGCACCTGTTTATAACATTCATTATTGAAAGCAACTTGACATACTTTCCATCAAAGTTTGTTATTATAACATCATATGAAAGTTATCAAATAACTTTTCATATGTTTTTTTATCATTGAGATCACAATTAGAATAAAATATGTTGGCCCAGTTTTCAAAACATGATATATGTGAAGACACATTTACCACAGGACTCAAGAGTAGGGTTGGGAAGTTTGTGTTCTGTCTTGACAGGACCCATGTCTTTATTACATTAATGTCATTTGTAGAATCCAGAAATTTTCTAAATCAATCCCGAGTGCTATAGCAACCCCCAATTTTTTAGAACAGCCTGCGAACCAATAAGTCAGTTCTAATTATGATGTCGTATAAATTAGAAGCTGGAATGAAAAGAGGAGATTCTGAACATGCTATGTGTGTCAAGGGGAAGAAATTATGTAATTTCTTTAAAAAATAAAAAGCCTGGATTTCCTACTCCCCATATTTTTGAGATTTATGAAATATTGATAGCTGCAACCCTCCATCCTTCAGCTCTTCTCTCCTTGTCATTGCAAACACATACATGCACATACGCCCTGGACTTCAGCAGTTTTATTACTAATGATGAGGCAAAAATATTTAGGGAATGTTTGACAGAACAAGGATGCAAGATTTCAGCTCTCAAATGATTCTGGTTTCTGGCAAAAGAAAAGAAAAGGGCGGGGGGGATTAAAAGAACACAACTGGATAGATTGATGGAGAGCAAACACATGACTGCTGTTTGAATGAGTGGATTCCCCTCCCAGAATGTTCATGACAGGTAATCACTTATTCTCACTGGCTCTGACAAGCTGAGAAATAGACACTCTTTTGATAAGGAGTTACAGTGTATTCTTGGTGAATGAGATGATGAACTACTCAAGGCTTTTTGTATCTATCTTTACTCATACCCCTTCACCTCCTCTTGTCTTGTTCTCTGGAGGTATTGACTTGTATGACAGTCAGAAAGAAAGCAGAGAAAAGACAACTTTCTTTTAAAGTGTCAAGCTTAGAAAGGATATGCAGCAGCTTGCTGAATACATCTGTTTTGCAATATGTGTACAATGTTAAAGATGCAAGCATTAAAGGAGAGTCAGAGGTTTGAGGTTCTTTAAACAGATTTTTTTTTTCAGGTCATGTTGTGGGAAAATGAGGAGATGCTAGCAGGAATCCCAACCCAGAGGAATTTTAGCTCAACAGACATTCTACAAGGGTGTGAAAAAGCATACACTACCAGTAGAGCTCCAATACTCTTTGAAAGGGTGCAGCATGCACTCTATTCATGCCAGTTCACCTCTACTGCTCGAGTGTGAAGATAGATAAGGCCAAGATTCATCTCTTATACTGTCTCCATGTTTGGGGTTAATACCATCACAAGTGCTATCAAGAGCAGAGCTTTCATTTCTCTTTCCAGCTACTATTATGGCTGGTCCCTGGCCACGGGCATAAGAGAAAGGTCCCTTGTAGCGCCTCTCCTTTCCCTTGGCCACTATCTCAGGACTAACTGCAATCTTGATTTAAGAAGGTTTGAGGCCATAGGCATTTCACTGCCTTGACCCCCATTTTGCCTTTGTTTAACTGCTGCCCTGTGTTTGGTCTTTTGAATACATAATTTGCAGAAGCACAACACCTAAAAGTGTACTTCTGACACTGATGTGAAAGCACTGGAAAAAATGATTAGCTCCTGGCAACAGAGGAGTTGTTTTATTGCTATGGGTAATCTGAGAAGAGTTTTTAGCACAAAGGGGGCCAGACGTGCTGTTTCAGGTTTATTCTGTTCCTTCTGTGGGGCAATTATGTGTTTTGCTTTGAATAAAGCTGTAATGATTGCTGAACATTGAATGATTACACAAGTGCTAATATTATTTCCAGAAATGCCAATTTGCAGGAAAAATGCCACAGTACAACATATACAGTAAGTAAGTGGGTGTTTGGGGCTGGGGGGAGGGGGAGGAGGGAAAGCGCAATGTGTATATTTTACTCCAAATACCTCTCAACCGATGCTATCTCTTTGGGAAATTCTGAATCCTCAGAAAGTGTGCTAAAAACCATGCAACCTGTTGAGAAATATAGCTGTCAATATCCACAAACATTGGGGAATTTGGCTCAAAGGCAGCATGGATATTTATATATCTACCTGCAGGGCAATGCTATGTCACTAAACGTAGTCGATTATTATTTCTGGAAGCAAAGTATTTAGGAGGCTGCTCTTCTGGAAGTGATTAAAGTTCCAGAAACAGAGGGTGAAACCTGGTCCCATGGAAGATAATGGCAAAATTCGACATTCACTTCAGTGGGGCCGGGATTTCATCCAGAGAAGGTAATTGCTTGAGTGATAGCTGTCCAAGGCCTGACTACCATTGCTCTCCCCTCTGTGTAGCCATTTATACCTGTCCAAAGTGAATGCAAAGTGTGTTAGTTTCTCCCATACTGATCTGATAGCATTTTACATCTAATTTGCTCTGTGGTAAATAACTACAAAAGGGGCAAAGTGATGGCAAATCAGGCCTGTTATTTTAAAAATCAGTGTTACTGTGTGGCAGGTTCTTGAATTAAAATAGTTATCTATATTTAAGTGTAGCAGAGGCAAATTCATTGTAATGAAACTGCACTGGAGTAATATTATTAACCTAGTAATCAATTAAGTATGGGATAGACAAATATCACAGCTACTGTTTACAGCTATTAGAATCTGATGAATGACAACAGCACTTATTAAATGCGTATGTGGTATAGATTGGGAGGCCTTGCTATAATCATGATTAAAGAGACTTCACAGTGAATTGTTTTACCCTAATGAGAAAGCAGATTATACAAGTTTTGGTATCGAAATACTATTTGATTACTTCCATTGCAATGACAAAATTGCTCACATTTACAAAGTCCTATTATTTTAATGAAGTTTATTAAGCTCTCTTTTGTTCTTTTTAACTGTTAGAAAAACATGGTGACTGAACTAGTCAAAACCATTGGCCTAGTAGCAAATCTAATTGGATAAATTCATGGTTCACTGAATGCATATTGACTCTACCATGTTCTCGCATTTTAGATGAGTTGTAAATTCTTGATTTGCATTCTTCACATCAGACATTAGGATTTTTATCTGCGCATAAATGAAGAATTACAGCAGGCAGCAGACAAGCTCTTGAAGGTTCTCATGACAACTGCAAGCACCCCTCCATTGTTTTGTTGCGGTCTCTTAAATTAACTCATCAGGTAGCCAGAAATTATGCACTGACAAAATAATTACCACTTCATTTTCTCTGCCCCTCAAAACATGTGATGTAAAGAGAAACTCGAATATCTGCCCCTTTCTTTCTTGTTGATGTTCTCTAGGCTATACCATGTGTATTAGCTTCTGCCTAACCGTATCCTGAGCTATGTCATAAGTCCTACATTGAAAACAAATGGGAGACTCTCTCCAGTGTAACCTTACAAGTATTCTTACCAGTATTTAACACTTATTAAAGGATGGCACTACAGGGTGGACAGAGCTTTTAGGTTCAGCCCTAAGTAAGGAGGGGTTGCATAACTCCCCATATCTGATACTGGAGTTCAGGGATCTACATGGCTTTAGGTATTAATGTTTGTAGTTGGCATCACTTACCCAGTCTATTTCAGTGCCTCAAGGAGCCACACCTGGTCCTTTCACGGTATTTAATTACATAGCTGGCAGAATACCAGTTTTGTGGTGCCTCTGAAGCAAAAACAGGCCGGGACAATATTAATATAAATGAACAGAAATAAACAAAGAAAACATGTACTTAGAAATACCAACACCTGATCCTGCCCCTACTGAAACCCTTGGGGCTGTTATGGAAGTCTTAATATAAGAAGCAATCGAAGAGCTATTCCTTAAGTCCACCCAGCTGCAGTTTTATGGACCATGTGGAGAAAGGCTAAAGGCTCCATTGGAAGGAGTTCATTCATCTCAGATACCTGTTGTGGGTAGGTACAGGCATAGCAGGCTTCCCTCCTCTCCTTTGGAAGCCCCTGTCAATAGCCTCTTGAGCCTTGCAGTGGTCTGGATCCTCTTGCAACTCATCATTCCAGCCAGGTCACATTTTATGTCTACCCCTTTTGGGATAATAATGTCTTTTCCTGAGCCCTCTCGCCAGGCTGCCCCTTTCTGGGAAGGTGGTTAAAACACCTTAAAAATCTTTAATGACTCACTAACATGGCACCAGCCCATCCTTCAGGAACCAGGTGTCTGGTATTTTTTGGTCACTTTTTTTCCACCCCACCCCACCCCACCCATTTTCATTTTGATCCTGACTCTTATCTCACAGCTTAAATCCCTTTTGTCTTGGCCTTTTCCCAAAGTCCAGATTTCCTAGCCTGTAACCCAAGGCTTATTTTTCCCTGGGCCTTTTCTGCCCTGAAGCCCTACCCTTATAGTAGTCACCCAGCCCTCCACAGCTGGGTCTCATCCCAGACTGGTCCTGGCCCCTCATCCAGGTGCAACTGAATATAGTAATTGAGTTTCCAGATTCTTTTAATCCCCCCAATGGCGGTGTGGGGTTTACCTGCCATCATACCCATTAAAATGGCAAGACTTTTTCTAGCTAGTCTATATTGTAAATATTGTATCTAGAGACAACTGACTTTTTTTAAACCTAACGAGTTCGGCTTTATTGATGTTAAATAATTTATGTTACAATTTTTTCTTTTTGTAGAAAAATAAGAGATGAGAATGTGTTGATCTGTGTGACTACCACAGAAACACCCACTATATATATTTATAGAAAGTTTCCCCAGCCCCCCAGGAATTTTAAACCCAATACTTCTCTCCTGAGCCCATCCGCTTTGTTCACTAGACTAACAGGGATTCTTTATTTAAGGAAAACCACAAACTTCTAACCCTACACCTTATACAGTTTTATTTAATAGCTTCAAGAATTGACATATTAGATAATTATTCAAATCTATTCCCATTCTCCTATTTTTTCCCCTATCAAATTGTTTCTTGCAGACCTGCAAACCTAGATAACAATTTACACAACTTATTTGGTGTCTTCTACACTCTTTTCTAAATTGGGCCCTGATCCTGAAAAGCACATAAGCATGTGGGTAATTAAGCACATTGGTAGTCACATTAGTTTCAGTGTTACTACTTAAGTGCCTGAAGTTATACATGTTCTTCAGTGCTTTGTTGAATTATGGCCTTCTTGCATCACAACTAGGAATAATCGAAGATTTAGTAAAGTTTTCAGTTATTCATTCCTTTTGAAAAAGCAATTAGACCCACTCTACTCCTATTGCTAAAACCATGATCCATAAGCTAGTCATCACTTCTGCCTCACTAGCTTCTCTGATTCTCAAACCCTCCTGTCAAGTATGTTAACTTTAATGAAAATACCCTCCTCATATACCACCCTAAGCACCCTCTTCTGCTTCTGATACTTGCAAGGGTGTCTGATCACTTTCTGCATCCAATTCACCCTGCTCATTTTTACTTCCAAGGCTGTGCCCCAATTACAGCTCCTCTCTCCATGCATTCCAACTTCTACCCTATGATCTGTTAAACCAGTACACCTTGACACTGTCTTTAGCCCCTTCTCTGAACCAGAACCTTCCTGGATATCCCTGGAATATCTCTCCTGACCCTCTATAGCCTGCTGCCCTGTCTACCTCTTTGATCAAGTCCCTCCTCAGGATTCATTTCATTCAGCTAGTCTGCCACTGCTGTAAATTAAACCAAATACATCTTCATATGTTTCACCAATCATTGCAATCCACTCATATTCTGTACTGAGCCTGGAAATAACTATATTTCAGTAAGAGCAATCTATTCAACAAAGGAAGGTTTACTTTTATTTTAATACGACTTCAGGTTTCCCCAGGTTGCATTGCTATAATCAAGTGAAGATTTTTGGGAAAGAGACAATTCCTTTCTTTAGTATTTTATAAATTAATTTAATTATAAATACTCCTAGTGGTTAGTGAATGATGATAAAACAGTGCTCAGGAAGTATTTATATATCTGGTACAATTTGTACTGTTCTTATACTCTGCTGCTTTTTTACATGTCATAACACTTATCTTTTAAACAGTCATATAGTTGAAATCCAGCTTTATCTTTAGAAAGGCAGGTTAATATGGTAAGAAGGGTGGGCCGTGTGGTTCCTTGGACTCGGCTCTGAACTGGAAGTCAGGAGACAGATTCAAGTCAGTCTTAGGGACAGTGACTGTCATTTTCTAAACGTTTGTATAGCTCAAAGGACAATGGGGCCTTGGCCAGATTGGTCTCTAGGAACTATCACAAGATAAATATTAGGTCTGTTCCAGGGATGGAAGTTCTGTTTCATAAATGATTTTGAGATTTCAACATTTGGCTTAGCTCCAATTTGGAACTAAACCTGAATATTTCAAAATTCTCTACAGAGGAAAAAAAAATAAAAAACACTTTGGATTGATCAAAATGTTTCAGTTGGATTTTGACTTTTTACAATTCTATATTATACTATAAAGTGCAAAATTTAAAAAGTAGTTCCAAAACTCAGAATGTTTTGTTATGTAAACATTGGACTGGGAAGACATTTTGACATTGTCAGAACGGTTTTGTGTTTTCTCCCTCTTGTTTTTTCTTGGAAACAAATTGTTGATTAAATCCCCACAAATTTCAAGAAGCATTTCTATTTTAATGGAACTGCATTTGACTTGAATGGAACCAAACTCTGCTGGAAAATGGTTCCACTAAAGTTTTTTCGATCAGCTTTAATAATAATAATACTCCTAGCTCTGCCACTGTCCTGCTGTGTGTCCTGAGACAAGACACATATCTAGGCCTCAGTTCCCCATCTGAGAAATGGGGATGGCAGATAAAGATGGTGAAAAAAATAACTTTTTGTAAAACAAAAAAATCTTTGTTTTGGGGAACAGAGAACCGAAAATTACTGATTTTTTATTCAGATTTTTTATGAAAGCAAACAATTTCCATGGAAATTTTCATTTATTCCTTCAAAAGCTTTTTTGACTCATTTCAGCCAGTGCTAAAAGATGCCCATCTTTCATAAAACACTTTGAGATCTAGTGATGAAAAACATTTTTAAAGTGTTAATTACTAGTCTTGTTTAAAGAAATGATCTGATCTTCATGGTAAATCAAACAATTTTTGGGCTAGTTTATTGTACTGTTTTGTTGAATAATTTTTTCTGGTGAATAATTTGTGGTCTCTCTTTTTCTGATATTTTTAAACAATTACCATTGGACTATATAGGGGCATGATGTTCATCTTTTTATGTTGTTTGTCCTTGCAATTGATTACCAAGCCCAGGGCATTTGGGAAAAGTTAATCATCTCATATTAGTTTGTGATCAATCCATCTTTTTATCATAAAGACTGACTCATGAATGAAGAGGATCTTTAGTGACACTTTTTCTGATCCAGAAAGTATCATTCTTTTTACTGCTCTTCAGTCAGTAAAATTTTAGAAATATCAGGCCTCTGATAAGAAAGAAAAGATATTAGCTGTATATTTTCAGCATGGATATATACATACTAGGTAGATCATATCAATCTTCCTTTTTTTTCCTCTTAGAATTTTGGACATGATAGATTAAATTAAGACCCCCATGCTGACATACTTTAATAAGTGTAATTAAAAGTAAAACTTTAATGAGTCTGTGAGCTAAGTTAATTATGCATTCTCAAACTGAATGTCACATACACATGGAATTGTTTTGTACTGATCTTGTCCAAAAATATTTTTGTGTTAAAGTATTGCATTAAAAAGAGAGCTTCATTTCTGCTTGTGACTGTATAGTGTAATCCAGTTAAGAGTACTGGAATATGAATGTACAGGTCTCTTTTAATGAATAACAAAAGAATTTTAAGGAGATTAAAGTTGTCATATAAACCATAACTGAAATTGGAATTGGGACTTAGTCATTAAGGTAATGGACAGAATATTTTACAAAATACTAGAAAACGCAGTCTTTCAATACCTATGGGTCTGATCAGTCGCAGGGCTCAAACATATGTAAAATAAGAGTAGCTCCACTGAAGCTCATGGAGTTAAACTGGTATGAAGCCAGAGTGAGATAAGAAATAAATGAGATTAGAATCAAGATTTTCTACCTTAATTATCTCAAACTATAGGCTAGATTTTGGCTCGGTGTGTGGGAGGCATAGTGCTGCAGTGGGATGTTCTTCAAAGGGAGCAACTTCTTCAAATAAGGTCTGATTCTGCTCCAGCACAATTCAGTGGCAAAACTCCCAGTTCTCCCTATGCACTAACCAGCAGGGCTGTCCCACCATAGAGGTGAAAGTTTATTGCACTCTGTAAAGAGCTTTGAGAGGTAGGAAGCCTCCATTGTTCTCCCTGCAGCGGTGTGATTCTGTCCAACTGCTTGCTAAACATTGTGAGCTAAATGCCACACTCTAGCCTATATGAATAAATGTAAGCTAATGTATATTTATCAGATTCAGATCTCAGTTACTCCAGTCTGTAAGTCTTATTTAACTTCACCCCGGTCAATGGAAATAAATTCAGTTTACACAGGTATAAGAGAAAATAGAACCTGGCTTTATGTATCTTTTGTTTGAGGAATATAATCCCTTTATACATATAGTATGTTGCAATATATCTCCATAAGTTTAAAAGTTAATAAATAAACAAAAAAAGAATTCACAATAGGTTCCAAGAGTCACGGAATTTGAAAGCTAATATTTATCCCTTACAGTAGAGACACAAAC